AAACAGGACACAGCGCGCCCAGAGCGGAGGAAGGGCCGTCAGCGCGACGCCCCGGCGCCGGCCGCTGGGAGCGATCGGTCGGCTTGGCCGCCGGCGGACACGCTCGCCGTCGGCGGCCCGTCGCAGATCCATCGCTGAGCGTCAACGAGGCGAACCACGCGCAACAGGGCGCGTGGCGACCGCAGCCGCCGCTCCCGGCCGGCTCCCGGCGCGGCGACGCCGGACCGGGCGCCGCACACGGAAGAAGGCCGCGTCGCCGTCCGGCCGATTTCCCGCACGCAACAAGGAAAGTCGCCGCGTGGAGCGACCGGTTCCCGCGGTGTTGGTCGGCCCTGGCTGCCGCGACGGCGTGAGCGGGGGACCCGGCTGTTCCTGAGCCGGCTGCCCTTACCGGGGGACCCCGTTGCCCATGAGCCGGCCGCTCTGAACGGGGAACCCTGCTGCCCCTCAACCGGCTGCCCTGAGCGGGGGACTCCGCTGCCCCAGAGCCGGCTGCCCTGAGCGGGGGACCCGCTGCTCCACAGCCGGCTGCCCTGAGCGGGGGACCCGCTGCCCCACAGCCGGCTGCCCTGAGCGGCCGTTGGGACGCCCGCCCAACGGGACGGCTTCTACCTCATGGCCAGCTAGCAGGCAGCAGCGTGCGACGCGCGGTCGGCGGAACGTTCGGTCAAGCCCAGCGCGCGGGTACGACAAAGCGACCAAGGCAGCGCTGGTTGCGCGGACACGGGGCGCGCTGTCCACTACGTGCAGCGTAAAATGCCCAATCGCCAGCTGATTGAACGAGGATGTAACCAGCATTATTGTGCGAAATGTCACCACATGATGAACGGAGAACCCTAAATGTCCAACCACAGACGGCCGCAAAGCGGCCAGGTCAGGCAACACATGGCACCTGACGCTGGCCGCGTCATCGGTCCACTGCGCCGCTTCGCTCGCACCGCACCGGGACGTTCCGGACGCCCGGAGCGCAGCCGGCCGGACCGGTCGCGCAGACACTCAGCCCGCCAGCCTGAGTCATCCCTCTCACTTCTCCCGGATGCGCGGCGGGCGGCCCCGGTCCGGTCGGGTCTCCGGTCCGATCCGCAGCCGCAGAGTGATCTCCGTCCGCCGGCCGACGCGCCGGTCAGCTCCGGTCTGCGCCGGCCCGCCAGGCTACAGGTGCCGCCCGCCCACCCCGGACGCAAGATAGCGGAGCGCCGGACCTTTTCCTGCCGCCAGCACGCCGCGGGCCAGATCCCGCACCGATGCCAGCAGCATATGGGCTTTGTTACGCCGCAGGACTGGACACAGTGCGGCGGTCGGCGGTCGCACGCGACTGCGACCGGTTCGCGAAGGCTGCGGCGGCGGCGGCGGCGGCGGCCGGTCGGCGGCTCCACCACGGCCGATCGTCACGTAGCCGATCGTATCGCAGCCGTCCTGCTCCGGCTGACTCCTGCTCCTGCTCCGGCCGACTCCTGCTCCTGCTCCGGCCGACTCCTGCTCCTGCTCCGGCTGACTCCTGCTTCTGCTCCGGCTGACAGTTCTGGGCGCGGCGCCGACGCCGACGACAGTGCAGAGCGGCAGCAGGAAAACGGGCGCGGCGGAAACCTGGGCGGATCGCCTCACACGACAGCGCCGGCCAGCCGTCCGCAGATGCCGACCTGTCGCCGCCCGTCCGCGCCGGCGACGGGGACACATCGGCTCAGGGCTGCGGCGCCGACGGCAAGCGCGCACCGCACCGCCCCGCCCGCCGCCCGGCGGCGACCGTCCGCTGCCAGCGGCCGCACGGGTACGGGTACTGCCGCGCGGGCGACCGCTGAGCCGCAGACGCCACAGGCGACGGCAGCCCGCAGCCATCCCCGCTAACGGCGCAGGTGTCGGAGCTGGCGGCCTCGGTCGCTGCCACAGCGTACAGGACGCCGTAGCAGCAGCAGCGGCGCCACAGCAACACGTGCAACCGCAGCCGACACGCATCGCTGACGTGCGGCCAGAGCCAAAGCCAGAGCCGGAGCCGGAGCCAGGGCCAGGGCCAGGGCCAGAGCCAGGGCCAGAGCCAGGGCCAGAGCCAGAGCCAGAGCCAGGGCCAGAGCCAGAGCCAGAGCCAGAGCCAGGGCCAGAGCCGGAGCCGGAGCCAGAGCCAGAGCCAGAGCCGGAGCCGGAGCCGGAGCCGGAGCCAGGGCCAGAGCCGGAGCCAGAGCCAGAGCCAGAGCCAGAGCCAGAGCCAGAGCCGGAGCCGGAGCCAGAGCCGGAGCCAGAGCCAGAGCCGGAGCCAGAGCCAGGGCCAGAGCCAGAGCCAGAGCCAGGGCCAGAGCCAGGGCCAGAGCCGGAGCCGGAGCCGGAGCCGGAGCCAGAGCCAGAGCCAGGGCCAGAGCCAGAGCCAGAGCCAGAGCCAGAGCCAGAGCCAGAGCCAGGGCCAGGGCCAGAGCCAGGGCCAGAGCCAGGGCCAGAGCCGGAGCCGGAGCCGGAGCCAGAGCCAGAGCCAAAGCCGGAGCCGGAGCCAGGGCCAGAGCCGGAGCCGGAGCCGGACACGCCACATCCGGCCATGCACACCGTCCCGGCGGGACCGCCGCACAGAAAACAGGCGGCGAGCGACCGGTCCGGCGGCGCCGAGCCGTCATGGCAACAGCCTGCCGTGCCATGAGACGGCCGTTGGCCGCAGCGGCCGTCCGCCGCCCAGTCGGCAAACCTGCATCGAAAGGGGTTGACCTTCGCGCACTTTTCCGCGGCGCTGCTTATGGCGTTGGATGTGGGCGGCGCCGCAAGGACTCAAGCTGCTGCGGGTGCCTCTTTAGCGGAAGGAGCCTCCCACTTGAGCCAGACATCCGTCTCGGCAGGAAAGCCGGGAAAAGGATGGGGGGGGGGGGGGACGCAACACTGTCACGCAGCAGCTTGGTCTGACGGTCGGCTGCGACACATGGGCCCCAGCGTCCCGACCAGTTCCGGGCAGTCAGGCGCCGAGTCAATCGCCCCTGACTGCTAGATAAAGACAGTTCCGTCTTCATCAATCGGAAATGTACATAAACCATCTGAAATACAAACGCATCTCTCCCTAAAAACAAAATCAAACATATCACGAGGTTCAAAACGCATGTACACTGGAACTCCCCAGCACGCAGGCTAGCCAGCTTGCATGCACGTCATTCTTGACATAAATTGTCTATACTGACAAAGTCACGGTCTCTGCTGGAAGGGCCCGGCTTCTGATGGCTGTGGCAGATCCCAGCTGCCGAGCGGCGCGTCTGTCAGACGCCTCGGGCAGTCCACCAGCCCGCCCGGTGCGCGGCCCGACCGGACCGCCGCCGGGCGCACCTCTAATCTAATCGGACGGGCGGAGGGCGGCGCCGGCGGCCGCCGACAGTTCACCACCTGAAATAGACCCAGCTGGCCGCGGCCCGGCTCGAGCCGGCAGCCGGCGCACCGCTCCAGAGGCCGTGCTCCACGGCGGACCGTGCGACCCTCGACGGCCCGCCGGTCACAACGGGGCTCGTCCGGGCATCGGCGCGTGCCCGGGGCGCCACCGGACCGCGAGGGCGGCTGGCACTGTCACAGCTGCACCGAGTGGAGAAGGGCAGAGGTCATCCACCTCAGCCCCCCCCCCCCCCCTCCCACGTTGATAGAAGTCACCATTACCACAGCAGGTATACTTAAGCCGTAATACATATTATATTTCCACTCCGGTGGTAATCAGCCAGATCAGCCAGATCCACAACTGGCAGTTGGGATCGTTTCGTGTGGGGACGATGTTGACATGGGTAGAATCTCGCAAAATTGTGTTAGGTGAGAAAAAGCATCCCAAAAAGTAGTTCGATATCAAACACGCATCACTACTACACTGCAGCATGTTCGCAGACGGGGAAGATGAATCACCCACGGCTTCAAATACAACGTCAACTACTAGGGCCTCATCTGGACGGCGCCGCACGCCGGCTGCTGCCGGATTAATATAGCGCGCTACTACGCCAGTACGCTTCACGGCTGGGCTGGGCCGCGCCGCCTCCGCAGCCGCCGCTGGGCCCAGATGACGGGCAGCCGCCGGCGGCGAGCAGGGCGGCCGACGCCGGCCGGTTGCCGCCGGCGGCGAGCAGGGCGGCCGACGCCGGCCGGTTGCCGCCGGCGGCGAGCAGGGCGGCCGACGCCGGCCGGTTGCCGCCGGCGTCACCAGATGTGCATCGCCGGCGGGGCACGCCGCGCCGCTTCGCCGAACGGCGCCGGACGATGCGGCGCGGTATTTCCAGTGGTCGGCCAAGGCCGCCGCGCGGCCAGGCGCTCGCTCCCACGTCACAACATGAACACACGGCCGGCCTGCCGACCCACGCCGACTGAGCGGCGGCGGCGGCCGGCAGCTCGGCAGCCCGGCGGTGGGCCGCGCACCTGCACCTCTCTGGCCGGGTCATCTCAAGGCCGACGCGCAAACAGGTGAGAAAACGGTGGCCACCGGTCGTACGCGGTGGCGATG